GAGATGGGTCTAAAGTGATCCCAATTAGATTTCTGGTCTCCCTTAGGGATTAAAGTGATGGTGGATTGGGCAAAGTGTTGTGGCATATCCTCCCCCCTGAAGAAGGCCTGGACAGCTTCCACAACATCATCTTTTACCACCTCACAAGTTTTATGTAGAAAGTAGAAGTAAAACCATCTGCTCTAGACACTTTGTCACCATCAATAGAACATAAAGCTTTCCAAATTTTTTCTTCAGTAGGAATAGATATTAAATCTAGACAATGAGTATCAGAGAAGTTGTCATTCAGTAGGCTAGGATCAAAGTTCAATAGGGTAGCCTCATGAGGTTCAGATAACAGATTTTGAAAGTGATCTATAGCATCTCTGTGAATTATATCAGTACCTTGGATCCAAATGCCATTGTGATTTTTGATCTTCAAGATGGTGTTGGAGTGTCTTCTTTGTTTAATACAGGCATGGTAAAACTTTGTATTCCTATCCCCATCAAGAAATTTTTTGATGGCAGCCTTTTGTTTATAGAAATCCTCCTCCCAAAGAATAGCTTGAAGCAAATTAGCATTAGCTAATATCATGTTTTGTTCATCAGAGAGCCCCATCTGAAAGTTTAATTCAGTCTGTTTCACCTTAGCTTCAGCCTCTTCAACTTTTGTTGTAAGGTTGCCAAAACAGTTCCAATTCCAGGCTTTCAGCAATTTAACAACTTTTTTCTGAATTTGCCATAGTTTAATCCAAGGAGGGAAGGATGAAACAGGTAGCCAGACAGATTTAATAAAGGATAGGAATTCAGGATGTTCCACCCATACATTGAAGAATCTAAATCTTGGTAAGGGAGCAATAGTGTGAGGGGATATAGAGATCAACAAAGGCCTATGATCAGAACAAGTGCAAGGAAGATGGGAAATAGAAGTCATAAAGTTGGTATCTAGCCAAGCTTGATTGACCAGGAACCTATCATATCTCTCAAAAAGTTTGCCTCTTCTCTAAGTGTCAAGAGGCCCCTAATGTGGAAGTTCAGCAAGGTCTGTGTTCCTGATGTTTTGAGTAAAAAGTAACATTTGTGCAATATCCACAAGTTTCCCTCCCCATTTTTCATTCAATCTAGCAATACTGTTAAAGTCTCCACCAATGATCCAAGGACCATTAATAGAAGATTTAAGGTGCTGGATTTGTTGCCATAATATAGCTTTATCACTGACAGCACTCCCAGCATAAATGAAGGTAGCCTCAACATGTAGGAAATCCCATAGAAACTAAATATGAAGAAATTCAGGTTGATCATCCAAGATCTGAACATTCAGAATCCTTCTATAGAAAAACTAAATTTTATTATTGATATTGTAGTTGCAATTGGAACTTGGGAAATACTTTCTAAATCTGCAAGGGGTGCAGTGGACCAAAGGTTCAAGAATAGTAAAACACAATAACCTCTGCTTCCTTATCAACTATTTAATTATGATCAACGATTTCTGATCTGAAATCCCCTTGATATTCCAACACATCAAATTAATCATCTAATAGATAAGGGAAGTGGAAACCAAAGGACTGCTATCCTAACAACCCAAAAAATGACCAAAAACATGCTGAAACGAGACAAAGGAAGAAAATAAATAGGCTCCCATAGCTTTCTAGAAATGGGGTAGAGGATAGCAGGCAGGAATCTACCATCACCCAAAGGCCAGATAGACTCATTTTAAAAAAATTGCAGTTGTCACAACAACCCAAAGCCTTGACAAGTGACTGGCTGAAATGAAACATAATTAAGGGAATAAATAGTCTTCCATATCTTCTTAGATAGAGGATATAGAAAGGTTGATAGAAGTCTGCCATCACCCACAGGCCATAGAGACCCATTCTCAACATAAGACAACTAAAACTAAGTAAAAAGATTAAAAGTCTTATGACAGACATAAACTAGCCAGAGACCAACAACCAAACAAAAGAGAATTTAAACATTTTGAGGGTGAATATGAAGTGAGGGTTGTGATATAGATCTGGTTCTCCCTCTAGAGGGTCCAGGAGATGATCCAACCTTCGGAGTATTGCCAATGGAAGCTGCCTTTCTTTGTAATCTTTGAGATTCTGGGGTTTGTTTTTTATTTCTCTTAGAGATATGCATATCCCAGTCCTCCCCCAATAGGTGGTTCAAATCAGAAACCTTCTCTCCTTTAAGCACATGTTGTGTCTCCAATTGCTGTTCTAGGAGTGGATCCTGCAACCTCTCCTCAAAGGAATCAACTGTGGGGCAAACTATAGTAATGATGTTGGGTTCCTCTCTTAGCACTGCCTTGGGAGGGTAAGTAATAGAAAGAGCTCAGAGCCTCATCATGTAGGCCATCTTCATTAACCCCAGGAAGTTGAGTGGGGTCAATTTCCTTTATAGAAGACTTTTTTTTTCACTGGAGGGTGTAGCCTATAGCACCTATCTCTAGTGTGCCCAAACATCTTGCAATGTTGACAATAGTAAGGCCTTTTTTCAAGGATCACCTCCTACCAAAAGCCATCTTGCTCAGAGCCTAGCCGCACTCTTTTAACTTCAGGCAGGGTGATATCTCTTTCAATGAGAATTCTAGCAAGAGCTGGCCTTGCCTTGTTATAAGTATGAGCATCAACTT